GGCAGGGGCTTGGAACTGGATGATCTTTGAGGTCCCTTCCAACTCAAACTGTTCTGTGGTTCTATGACTATGCAGACCCCTGGGCTGTTGCACGGCCAAGTCTCACTGGCTTGCAGGTGAGCTCAGTGCTGGCAGGACCATGAGACCCTAAATGACCCCACTGCTTGCAAACCAAAGCTTGTGTTTATTGCAGAGGTGGCTCAATTAATCTTGGCAGAGGTAGAAGCCTGCAAGTCCATGCTGTGTTTTACAGGGCTAAGATGCAACCCAGGGGAACTTCCTGTAGCCAGAAGGAGAAATGATTGAAGAGCTGCTCCAAGTAAACTGAGTTGTTACCGTGTCAGCCCGAGCGGGTAAAACCTACCCAGGAGCCCGGCCCTTGGATGTGGCGTTAGCAGAGCCCATCCAAGAATTGCCAAAATGCACTGTGCTGAGGGTGTGTGATGGCTGAGGCGGGGACGACTGCCCGGTTTTTGGCACTGGGGGCGAGCTGGGGCTTCTTGCCGAGCCCTGGGCTTCTCCTGGCCCTGACTCCCATGCTGGGGGAAGCGCCGTTGGCATGGCTGGAGGGCCGCTGGCCATCGCAACTCTCTGGTATTGCCGTGAGGCGAACAGCTGCTCAGTCCCTGTGGTCTTGGGGGGCTGTTTAACACCCCAGGGGCTGAAGCCATTCCCAGGGCTCAGCCACTTTGGGCTCCTTGGCTGTAATTTGCTCTCGCGCCAGGTCTTGCTGGGGGGCATCGCCACCATCGGGGCATTGCTGGGGGTGCTGAGCCTGGTAGGACATGGTCTGTGGGGCTGTGCCTGGGCCCACATCTGCATCCCCCCCCCTCCACCCTGAGGACATCACCAGTAGGGGACACTCACTCGGGTTTAACCTGTTTCCCAGTGGGCTGATGTCAATACTCGGTGACCGAAGCAAGGCCAGCGTTGACTGAGACCCAACTGCAGGAGGCAAGAAAATGTTCAAAAACTTCAACAATTGGCTTTATTTAAGCTCAGTCGCAGGCTGCGAGAGCAGCAGCCCAGCGGTGCGAAGCCAGGCATGGGCGAGAACAAGCCCAAACGATCCCTGGTGGGAGGATGGGGACGCTGCTGAGAGACGCCGATGCGAACACATCTGAGAGCCTACGCAAACCCCGGGAAGGCTTGGAGCGCTAACGAGCGGGCGCTAACGAGCGGGCACAAACGAGCGCGTTAGGAGAGCTGAGCCCGTTTCAAGGAGAGGGATGGCGGAGGGCTCTCTGGCTCTTCACCCTGCTGGCTGGGTCCTGGGGCAAAGTGCTGGGGATTCTGGTTGTGCAGGCACCGAGCTGTCCCCAAAGCTGTCCAGAGCCATTCTCTGCGTGACCCAGCAGCGCACGGGCTCTGTCTCGCGGGATTAAGGTGGCAGAGCCTTGACCGGAATACTGGGGTTTCTGGATTGAGACACGCCAGCCCGACCCTGCGCGCGGGGCTGCGGAAGCGTGTGGATGGTGGTAGGATGCCCCGGGCTCGGGGGTTCACACCAGGGTTGTGTGGGGCGATGCTGAGATGGCAGTGCTTCACTGGTGCACCACGTGCTGGTCTCAGCTCTGCGGGTCTCAGCATCCATGCTCTCAGCCATGGATGGCTTTCTGCCAGGGATGGTGGTGGGTGGGAGGCCAGGACCCCCTGAAGCGTTGCATACAGGTGCTGGGGTTGAACACACATTTCCACTGAAGACTGCAGCCCAAGGGGGTGAAACGGTACGGGGTAGGGTCAGAAATTCTCATAGTGATGTGCAAAGTAGGTTTGGTCCTTCTTGTTCAGCTGCCGACAAGCCTTTTCCACGCTCTTCGTCATCCCGGGTGGGCCACAGCTGAACACCCCGATCTTCTGTACCTGGGGAAGAAGGGAGCCGAAGGGATCAAACCCAGCAGCACCAGCTTTCCCCCCAGCCCAGCCCCGCTCCTTGGACCCTTGCCCTCTGGCAGCTTTGGGCACCTCCCAATGGAGCTGATGGGGCCATGGAGGAAGGATGGGATGCCCCAAGGTCTCTGCCAGCTCTGGGGTGTGGCAGCCCCAGAGTCTTGCTATAGCGGGGTGTGTTTGGCTGATACGGGGCATTGCTGACTCTTGCAGCTCATCCTGGCTCTGGAGGGGACGTGGGGGAGTTCATCCCCCTTCTGCCCTTCCCTGGATGTGGATGCCACCAAGGTGTCCCTGGCCTCGAGGACAGGCTGGGATCAATCATCCACACTAGCGATGTCACCAAGGTGTCCCTGGCCTTGAGGACAGGTTGGGATCAATCATCCACACTAGCTGATGGGTGCTTCCCATCCTGTCCCCTAGCCAGGCACTGACCTCAGGGTGCACCTCCTGCAGCGAGCTGAAGAAGGGTACGAAGGGAGGGCGCCCAAAATGGGTGATGGAGCGCAGCCCCGTGAACAGGCTCTTGTTCAGCACCTTCTGGAAGTGCCGCTCGCAGATGTACTGGAAGAGAGATCAGTGTATGTCAGATGGCCCAGCACGGCCCAGTACGGCACGGCAGCCTTCCCGGCGGGCGGCCAGGCTCACCAGCATGGTGGTGCGCAGATCGAACTTCTCAGCCAGCTGCGTGATGTAGATGTGCACGGAGACCAAGTCGTTCCTGTCGGCCTCCTCCACCTCGCGGATGATGTCCGCCAGCCACTCAAACTGCCGCTGTGTGCGTGTCACCCAAATAAAGTAGATCTGTGGCACATGGAGATGAGGCTCAAAGTGAGGCCAACATGGTTACGTGTGTCCATGGCACTCCTTTTCCCAGATGGATCATGGAGGATATTACCCCCAAAGAGGCCAGCAGCAGCAGGAGGCATCTCAAGAGGGCTCTTGTCTTCCAGGTGCTTCCTCTTACCTTCTTACACAGCAGCTTGGAGTTTATGGATGACTTGAAGACCAGGTCCTTGAGGATGGACGCGAAGGGCGTCACCCCGATGCCTCCTCCCACCAGCACCGACACCTCAAACTTGTTCCACTCCTGGTGGCCCTCCCCGAAGGGCCCGTCCAGATAGAGCTGGAAGGGAGCCAGCCATCAGCAGAGCATCTCCAGTCTCTGCTTGCCCAGATCTTGGCCACCTTCAAGGCTGGAGAAGCACCTCAGCGCAACCCATTGCCAAGATGCTCTTGGCTTGGATGTCCCTACCCTGAGAGCAGCAGCGTGGGGCTCACCTTGGGCAGCTTGCCGATGTGGGCCAGGCTCTCTGGGGAGTAGAGCTCCCGTAGGCGAGTGGTCCAGGGCCCCACGGCCCGGATGTGCAGGCTCAGCGTGTCCTCGTGTGGCGCCGAGGTCAGGGTGAAGGGATGGTACTCGGTGGTGCCCAGGGCCACGCAGGCGATGCGCACCCACTGCCCGGACTTGTAGTCAAAGTCCTGCAGCCGCTGGAACTGGAGGTGGGTGACTCCTGGGAGGGGACAGGGATGGAGACTTTGTTAAGGTGGAGACGTTGAGCAGTGGAGGCTCCTCCATCACTGCAGCCCCTGATGCTCTTGCGAAGAGCCTGGGCTGAGCTGGTGCTGCGTGGCCAGGGGTGTTGTGGTACCTGAGGGCAGGAGCTCAGCTTTCACCACGCTGATCTCCACCTTCTTCCTGCTCAGGCTGAGCAGCTTGTCCGCACTGTAGATGAGCGCTGGGACGATGAAGTAGATGTGGAAGCGAGGCTGCTGGATC